AAAAAAGTAAACATTTTCTAAAAAAATGTTTTTTCTGGGAAGTATTACACGGAAAAGTGTTCGGATTGTGCTGATATAAACTGTAATGTTTTTGTATATGAAAAGTGGTACCCTTTATTGAAAAAAAAAGTCTTTTAAGAACTCCATATTTAGTACTATATTCACAAACTACATAAATAAAGATATAACACACCCTCACGTACAGCCCTTGTGAAAGTCATGTTCTTGTTGTGAGGAGAGTACATTTATTTAAAATTGTGTTCTATGATAAAGAAATGATTGTTGTACATAACGTAGTTATTTTCCCAATTGTCTGAATCTTGAATACCCAAATTGTATCTGTTTGTAGTGCCGTTAATAGATGGCGCCACATTGTATTTATTGTTTCGTGATATATATATACACGCTACGTCGATTGTAGTAAGATGTACTATTGACAAGTCAGAATATGTAAGTAATTTCAACAGCATGAATATTTGGGAGGAGTTTCTGTGGTGGGTGTAACATATTATTGATATATTAGAAAAATATAAAGATGAGAAGAGGTTCCTATTTTAAATTCTAGCTTATTAATACCTATTGTTGGTGTTTTTATTTGGTGTCTAAAGTCCATATAAGGAAGAAGAATTTTAAGAGGAGAATTCAAAGTGAAGACTGATAATTTACTTAAATATTTCCTTTTTAAATTAAGGAATTCAAACTTGTAAAATGTTAGAATTTAGGTTATATACTATGTTTTGATATCACGTTTATTAACATGCATTGATAATAAAATGTTATTAAATACTGAATATAACTAAGTTAAAGAGCTTTTTTTTTTCAAATTACTGTATATACTGGCAAAGAAATTTTATTAACTGATAAACGAAATATTTTATCTTACTTTTGTTCTAAAACGTAATATATTAATTTTCTTTCTGTTCCTTATATTTTCGTGTTTTTTTTTTCCTTGTTGGAATACCTGGCTAATTACATATACTGTTCTTACTTAGATTATAATGCACTGCTCTATCAGTTGGGTACCCTCGTTGTTAATATTTCGAAGTTGTGCGGGCAAGATTGTCACACGTTTAATTATTAGTAACAACAGTAGCAATTTCTAAAACTTATTGCCGAGCATTGAAAGTATCTAACTAATATTTTAATACTCTTCTTATATGAAATTTAATTACAATATATTCTAGTTGGAACGGTCTCTAGTATATGCAGAGTTTCAAAAAGAAGCATGGAAAAATGCCACCTCGTTTGCCTGGAAGCAGTTTAAAAATCCATCAACTAGAAGACTATTTAAATTCCTGTCTATCCTTGGAACTGCTGCTCTTCCAACGGAGAAGCTGAAGGAGGTCAGTTGTTTTGTTACTGAATGTTCAATGCACTTTAGACACACCTACTTGTTTATACAACTAAAATACACAAACAATTAAACCATGATTTGTAAGTTATTGAAAAGTTTACTGAAAGGAAATTTAAACCACCATATGTATTACACAGCAATGAAATATTAGCTCCGTTCTTCCTGTGAATTTATCAGAACCTGATAAAATGTTTCATTACTCAGATATTAAATTCTCGCAACAGGTTTTATAAAAGCAACTAACTCATCTGCTAGGCTTTAATTTAAATCTGACACCAACTTGAATAAAAAAAGTTTGATTGGTTTATTCTTTGAGAAAACTTTAATATTAAATATTTTCCCTGAAAGTTTAAACACTAGTAAGATTCTGTTGACTTGTCTGATGCTGAGTTTACTTAGAGACTTTTAGCAAATAAACATCTCTCATAACCTCGAATCTTGGTAGTGTTTAAAGTAAAACTTTATAATTAGTCTTGTGTGTGCGAAAAAAATTAAATACTTAATGGATATATATATATCACTGGCGGCTCGCCAGAGGAGAAAAAGGAGGTTATGCCTCTTCAAAGATTTTGAACAAATAAGATACTAATCTTTTTATTATTATTATTATTACGTATATCTTATTTATTTTGGGCGTAAAATTCTTTAAAATATTTTGTGGCGAAACACTCAAAAATATTATCGCGCTCAACGCTGTTCATCAAGGTGACATCTCGTGGTGTGAGGCACAGAACAGCTGTGGCTCTCGGTATTTTATTTTTATCTTTACAATTTCGCTATAATTGCAACAGAAACAGCCGAGGAAAGCCGAACTCTCTTTCCGAGTATAACAAATATTTTTTAGGCTGGCCATATAGCTAATGGAGCCAATCGCAAACAAGGTTTAAAAACAACAGATGAAAATCATTAAGAATTTTGCAAATAAAAGGTAGCACACCCGCCTCATAAGGCCGTGGTGATCAAGAGCCGGTACAAAATTAATAATTATTTAATTATCGAGTGCTTATATAAAACTTACAATTGGATTTCGTTAAATAATGTGCAGTGACGTGGTTAAAAGGTGCGATGACTTTTTTTTTCTATTTCGAAGTTGTTTTGGAGTTTTATATATTAAACAAATAGTTGGGCCTTATCTTACATGATGACAGTGGTGGTTAAAAGGTGCGATGACTTTTTTCTATTTGGAGATTGTTTTGGAGTTTTATATATTAAACAAATAGTTGGGCCTTATCTTACATGATGACAGTGGTGGTTAAAAGGTGCGATGACTTTTTTCTATTTGGAGGTTGTTTTGGAGTTTTATATATTAAACAAATAGTTGGGCCTTATCTTACATGATGACAGTGGTGGTTAAAAAGTATTTACAGCTATTGAAGACCGATGACTTGAACTCGCATATAAATAAATCGAGACGCCTAAGGTAACCACCTTTTTTTACGTTTTATATATATTTAGGCAGAGTTTTCATGAAGCACAAACGAAGTTTAAATGCGCAGCAACTACCTAGTTTAGTGCCTCGTGAGGAGAAAGTCTAGGAGTACCGATCTACAAAAGTAACTCTAGTGGAAAGGGTGACGTTTCGAAAAACACATCTTTCTCCTTAAATGTCACTATGAACTATGCAGCTGCTGCCTAGTTCAACTTTGTTACCTCTTTTATTCCTCTATGTTCTTGGGGTTAAGATATCGCCCTTCTGCTCCTCAATGTTTGTATGGATAATTTTTATTTTTCAATTTGATAGCTAAATGAAATATCGGCTAGTATGGAGGATACTTACAGTACATCTAAAATCTGCCCTTACTCGCTACAAGTTGTAATAACTGACGAAAGTGAGAATCTTGACGATGATAAAAGTTCTTCAGAAGAAGAGAACTGTACTTTGTCATTGGAGCCAGGTAGGTCAATATATAGATTTGTGCGATTTTAAGGTCCAGGAAGCTATCAACAAACATTCTAATTACAACTAAACTACATATGAAATTAAATATACGTTAATAAAGAGAATGTACTAATTGGAAAAAAAGTGTAAGATAGCCTGCGTCAATAGTAGTAAGTAAATAACTGTACTGAATATATTACAATATATTTCCTAAGACTTATCATAAGTTAAGTATAAAGTTAAAAATGGCCTTAATATCACATAGAATGTGAAATGAAAATAGGTACATTTCTAAATCGAGTTGAAACAAAATACAATAATTTATGATAATTTTTATAATTTGATGCAAAAGTGTGGAAATGCCGAAGCACCACGTTATAAATAGACATGGATGATTATAGTCTCAAGAGGTGATGCGTATTATCAAATATAAATCAGCTTTTGTATCTCGGTGCGCGAGTTGCATGTACCTAAAACCACCATTGAGCACCAGATGCCTGTATAAAAATAATTAAATGTACTTTGTACGATAACAAAATGAATATATCTGTCTTCATCCTTAAGATTTGCTATAATACAACACTATTTTTTTTTTACATAGAAAAAGTTTCATTATTGTACTTTATTTTCAAATTACTTACGCAAAAGAGTTGTATAGTAAGAAATTCCTCTTTTTGTTTTGTAATTGTTTAAAATTTGTGACATCTATGTAATATGAAAGTGGTTGGATACACTGAAAAATATCCACAAAATCATAGGATCAGGAAATGTTACGCAAAGAAAAACATACACAAGTGGCAAATAACAATCTTTATTCACAATATTTTGTTTATGTACTTCACTTACTGACTGACTTCTTATTTCTCAGTGCGATTTTTTTATTGGTTGCTTGCGCTAAGAGACAGGAAGAATAACGTTATACCGAACTTTCAAGTCGGACAAGGGGTTTTAGTGCGATATCCCTAATCCATATATTTCCTTCGTCAAGATTATTCGAAGGAGAGAACATTCATATTTACCAACTTGTACCAAATATGTTTACCATCAAAACTGAATTGTCTTGGGTCTGTGAACATTCAAGAAGTTTATAAATAAAGATAAAAAAGCTTTGTTATATAAAATAGCATATAATAATATAGATGAATAGTAGGAAGTATGTTTTGTAAGTTATTTTACACAGATGTGTTAACAATAAATGTAGTAATAAGAAATTTTGAGCTGTACAGCATAGCCCGAATAAGATCAAGAACGTGTATTTGTGCAAGCATTTATTAGTCGTAATGTATAATGCCTTTTATATTATCCTTATATTTGCTTATTACAACGGAGATAATCCGTAGGTTAAGATGTTTTTGCTATTGAAATGGATATTTTCTATTACACAGATATAACTCGAATTTTAAAGAAGTCACAAAACTACGATGAACTGGCTTATGTGTGGAAGGCTTGGCGGGACTCAAGTGGAAAAAAGATTAGAAAACGATATGAACGTTTTGTAGAACTCAGTAATGACGCAGCCAGACTTAACGGTGGGTTTTTAGTAGAGTCTGTTTGTAAAAAAAATATAATACTTGTAATAATAATAATAGTATTTACTGACAGCAAGTACAATTGAAAAGTTTATTTTGAGTGTTAATTTTAAAACTAGTAAACACAGTATAATTCAGTTTTTTCATGAATTTCGTCATTATACCTCTTACGATCTCTCCCCTCCCCACACACACACTAGTTGTATTTACGATAAGATGGAGATTTAAAATGATATATGATATTATCTATTTATTTAAAGCACACAGATATGTGTGTATGTGTGTCCTTTATCTAGGTCGCTGGACCAATCTCAACCAGAATTTGTGGGATGATAGTTTGGAATAAGGGGCATGTTAATGGAGGGTTCACAATCATCTCCACCCCTATTATTGCTGTTATTGAGCATTTATTATTTTTGACGTAAGTTAATATTAACTACATTCATAGATAGCATCATGTCTTTACACCCCCCCCCCAAAAAAAGTGCGCTAGTACTCTCTATGGAGAAATGCAAGGGGAAAAAAAGGTAACCCCTATTGCAATAATACATAAACTCAGCTGAAGTTTCTACTCCAACAGCCATCATAAGGTTGATATGCACTTCTGCAGCCAATGACCATCTATTAATTTAATACAAAGTCACCCTGACCATCGCACAGTGTATACCATGTTTTAAGTATGAAAATATTGAGTTCTTAAAGCTTATATAAAACTTTTGTAAGGTAATAATGAATAATATGTTATAAGTAAATTGTGTGGAAGTTAAGATTTTGTGTTATTTATCATAGTATCAACTCACACATTTTTTTTTAAGTTCATAACCCAGACAAAGGACAGGTACCTCAGCTTGTAAGCTATATTTTTAATGCGGTAATTTATGTGTTAGCTAGAGGAGACTGCGGGTCTCAACAGTGCCACATTAAGGCACTGGTGGGTCCTGAGCGAAGAATAAACTAGTGAGCCCCCTTGCTTTTAAGAAAATACCATACAATTTGATAAACTCAATTTATTAGTGAAAAAAAAAGTAAGGTAATAAAAAAAGAGGAAAAACCAGTTTATTTTTGAATTAAATAAATCAAGGACGCTCCTCTCACTCTCATACCTGACCACATAGAGCTCTTCCGCGCGCGGTGGCCCTGGGCAACTCAACTTTTGCCTATTGGATAAAACGTCTTGGGTCTTAATGATGACGTTGCGATCAGAAGATTTAATAAGATGGGCTTAGAACTTGTGGAAAACTAAGGGTGAGAAGTAAATTGTTTTAAAATATTCGAAAGTAGGTTCTAAATGAGAGATGGTTATGAAGTGTGGAAAATTTTCAAAATAGTGAACTAGACAGTGTGATAGCTATCTCGGTTACTTTATACAAGTAAAGTTTATTTGTTTTACGTTAGTTAACATCATTTATAACGTAGGCCTACAGCAATTTACGACAGTGTACGACAAGCTTGTGGGAACTTTAAAAGAGAAAATAATTTAGTATTGTTACGTGGACCGGAAGCTAAATCATTTTCACCATATAATTTAGAAGAACCCGCCAACAAAAGAATTACATTAAAACTAACTTTGGTGGGGAAGAAGTAAAAATGTCTTAAGGTTTTGAAGTCATTTATTAGCTAAATGTATTTAGTATAAACTAACTAATAATAAGCTGGAAATTATTCTTGTATATGCTGGATTGTTTATGTTTTCTTTTTATGAACATAATTTATATTTTGTGAACTTTGAAAAGCATTTGTTATCATTGTTAGAAGCCTAGGCATAAAGTCTTATGATTAGTTTGATACAGTTTTTCTTTTTTATAATTACAGTATACTTGCTCACTACTTTATATTCTATATTTTAGCACTAATCTCCATGTAAAATAGTTAGTTTTTAGTAAGTAGTAATAATAATAATAAAAACGTAGTTAGCAGACATAGTAATTATACTTAAGTGATCGTACAAGATATTAACCCTGACAATAACTGATTTCAGGTCGTCTATGTCAAGCCTTCGGGGGCCATAATATATTTACCAAACGCATTGTCGAAATACCATTAAGAATTTTGTAACTCTTGCCAGGCCTCATATTTTTAAGCATATTACATTGTGTTTCTGTGGACAACCTATCAAATAATATGCTTATGAATATGAGGCCTAAGAAAAATTAAAACACTTATTGCTATTTTGACAACGAGTTAAATCAATTCGTTATGGTCCTGTTGGCCTTAACGCATAGTCTAAAATTTGGCCACAAGTCGAATCAACACGTTACGGCTTCTGTAGTATGGAATATCTTCTTTTGTAATACATTTAATAAGTTAAAAAAAGGTTTAAAGTTTACCGTTAAGAAGATTTATCCACACCAAAGAACAGATGTAACTAAATGATATAATAACTCAATTTATCATCAATTTTTTCTAAAATTTTGATATATTACAAATAATATTGCAGTGCTTTACCTTATGAAAATCGAAGATTTATCTTTGCAGATAGCTTTTTCGTGCTTAAACACCTTCAGCTTGGAAATATGAGATGGTGATGATGAGGAGCAAAGACTGATATATCTTAACGTTTATACTTGAACATGTATATAATTTCTCACAATCATCTATTCGTCTTGTGTGACTCTGTCGTATGCTCAATTCCAGGCTTTGCGGACATGGGAGAAATGTGGAGGGAATCCTACGAATCTGACACATTTTTAGAAGATCTAGAAAATCTTTGGAAACAACTACTTCCCCTGTATGAAAACCTGCATGCTTACGTGCGGAGGAAATTAATTTCCAAATATGGAAATGATAAGATTCGTCCTGATGGACCAATTCCAGCTCATCTACTTGGTGGGTTTAGAAATAGTTTCAAATTCTTATTTGTTGGTGTATAAGTTCCACATCTCTCAGGTTAACTATCTTAACACTTTAATGTTTTTTACCAAAACTCTCTGACAGCAGCTACAGTTGGCTACTTCAGTTTAAAAACTATTATGTAAACAAAAACAACTTCCAACAATAATTCACTCGGATGAATTTCAACTATGATTATCACTTTTCTGCAATGTCTCTTCACGTGTAATTTCAAAATTATCCTTTGAGTCAAATATAATTTGAGGGGATTAATTTAGATAAATTGATTCATCTTTAGGTAATATGTGGGCTCAAGACTGGGCAGGAGTACAAGAGTTTACTGAACCGTATCCAGGCAAACCATCACTCGACGTCACTCCACAGATGGTAGAACAGGTATCCTAATTTATCTTCTTTTCGTTTAAAAAATAAATATTGGCTACACAGTTGTTTAAACGTTTCATTGGATTACAAATTCAGATTACAGAATTAAAGTTGACGTATATATTACAAACTGAGAAGATTAAATACTAATTGAAAACTTGTGCATTTTCGTCCACTTTAAAATGTTCAAGGCCATAAATGTTTTTTGAAATATTTTGTTTAGTTTTCAGAGTCATAAAGAAAACAACAGTGACACTAGTATGAATGTTTATTGAGCATATATCGGCATGTTTCATTTAATCACGATTCACAAGGACTAATTTGATGCACTGTATTTATTTAAACATATAATTCGTAATATGAGTATAATGTACAATTACTTTCCAAGTGCTCAGCATTGAAAAGCACGTATAAATCTTTCGATAATAGAATATGACGGCTCTGGATATGTTCAACATATCTGAAGAATTCTTCTCTTCACTTGGGCTGAAAGAGATGCCTCCTCCTTTTTGGGAACACTCAGTTATAGAAAAGCCTACAGACAGGGAAATTGTTTGTCATGCATCAGCCTGGGATTTCTGTAATGGTAAAGACTATCGGTAAGTTTTTTATAACATGTTATTCAAGGGAACTTTCGCTGTTTAGTCATTAGTAAAGACTTTCAGTAAATTCCACTTCAAATCTTATCCTGAAGAACTGTCATTCTCGCTCTCAAATTCAAAGGGAAAATAGTAAAACCGATGACAAAGTAATAAGAAAACCAGCCTAATAATAATAATCAACATGCAATGTATTTGTTTAAGTTACTGGGAAAAGTCGTACACATCCACAGATAATTTTACCATGAGGGTTTTCAATAGATACACCAAATTACTACATTAATTCATAGCAAATCAACAGTGTACATAATCATATGTGAATTGTGAGAAATTATTGATTGACTGAGTGATTGGTACTTCTAACAACAGACACAAATGTATATAAATGTAGAAATTACTTAACGAAATTGATTTAGAAGCTGCTTTGTGACCGTAACAGGGAGTAGTAATACAACACAAAATCAAACTTCATTTCATGCTTTTGTTAGTTTCGCTGCTTAATCACCCCGCTGGACCAAGTATTTTATAAATTTAAATAAATTGTTCCTTGAACACTCTGCCATGGTTACAATGATAAACAGACAGTTTGTCAAATATGCTATTACCTAGAAATAACTCTTTTATTAATTTCTACAGTTTTGTTTGTCATTTCATGGATATTTTAGAGTTACTGCACTGTAACCTTATTCTTTCAGTTTTATATATAAACTAATGAAAGTATCCGGTTTCGCTCGTGTTATTAGGTTGATATATTCTAGATGATTATGTCATTGTGTGTATTCTGAACCTACTTTAGCATAGAAGAACAGTCAAAAATATTTTAAACATTTTTATTTCCCAGAAACATATAAAGTCGTAAAGGTACAATAATAATAAAATTATTATAGGTAATTATAGATGCCACAATACATCACGTTATATAACATATATAAAAGCCAGTGTGTGTCGAGTCACCTCACGCTTGATTTCTCGAAATAAGAGGAGTCATAAAAGCCAAAATGCATTTATTCAGATAGAATAATTCGTTAAACGTCTGCCATTACGATTTTAGTGGGCCCGGCATGGCCAGGTGGTGAGGGCGCTAAGACTCGCAATCTGA